ATAAAAAATAACTAATATCACTGAAAAACCTTCTGTGCATTCATAAAGGACATTTGTTGAAAGTTTCTTGGCAAACGTCTAAAATATGCAGAATTTTTGCTACTTTTTGAGACAACACTCATTGTTTAGGAGGATCTCAGGACATTATTAACTATTCCGTATGTTGGAGCTTAAAACGCTGCTACTTTCAGTTTTTAAAACAGACCCATCATGTGAAAGCCTTAAAAGCACTTTCAACTACATCATTTTGTTTTAACATAAAATTTGTTAAGAAATTTTTGTTAGCATACCTTTTAGTGTTTCAAAGAACTTCAAATGTAACAAACAATTTAAATGTTACACGAGCTTAGTTGTAAAACCACATTTTACACACATCTCTATGAATGACTTAAAAACAAATGTTCAAACTACCAATAATCCGCTTCTGTTTGGTTCAACTCGGCTTCACTCTGGCCTCTAATCCGTCTCGACCGTCGCCATTCCTCCTTACATCCAGATGCCCGCATTGCGCCTGTAACGACACTCCTCATTGGACGGTCACGGTCACGTGGCAAAAAAGTCGGGGCGGGCGTGCCTGGTGTGTTGAATGATGGGAAATGTAGTTCATACGCCGAGGGAGTGACAGATGACCCTGCAGCCTCTGAATGAATGAATGAATGAATGAATGAATGAATGAATGAATGAATGAATGAATGAATGAATGAATGAATGAATGAATGAATGAACTGCTTATGTGAAATTCATTGCTTATAAATTTAAAAACATTTAAATGGCGCTCAGTTTATATTTTCCACAACATCCCAACTTTTTGGAGAAAGCAGTTACAACAAACTCTCATGGAAGGTCAAAATAATTTATTACACTTTTCCAAAAAGGTTTCCTGCTGTAAAACGCTGTCAATCATCATCATCATCATCATCATCATGTAATACTGTTCCCAGGAGGTAATCTTGTGGATCTGGTAAAGCTTGATGTTGCCTGGGATCCTGTTTCTCTGGTTTTCTCCAGTCCTTTCTTCATGAGTAGAGCTCCCATGATCACTGGTATTGTTTTGGTCTTCATGTTCCGCATCCTGCTCATTTTAATTTCCAGATTATTTATATTTACTTAAGACATACTACATTTGTTAGAAGTCTTTCATTTGAAGATAGATTAGAAAAATAATATACTTTTGTTATCTGGATCACTAGTATTGTTTCTTTATGAAGTAATTTTTATGCAAAAATCAATTTACTTTTTTGTACTGCAGCCTCTGAGCTTTCTGACTCAAAGGTCACAATTTATTAGAGATTTGTAGTTTTGTAATGCAACACAGATTTTGTTTTTCCACAACAGTCACCACCCCCACTGAAAAGCCCATCAGTGGACCAGAAGTCATTGTTGAGGTCTGTCCTGATGCATCTCAGTAATCCAGGTAAAAAATCAAAAAGAAAAAAATAGTATAGGTCTTCTGGACGGGTTCTTCTCTAATGAAACGTTTCGTCTCTCCTCCAAGAGACTTCTTCAGTCTGGGAGTTTCAGGCAAAATTCGAAAATATGATTTTATTCTTATAATAGCCTACTTTATTTTCGTAACTTCTAGTTGCATTTTCTTTTATTTAACATCTTATTGCAGCATAAATTTCATCAGCTAAGTTGCTGAACTAACT